CCCATCCCATCATTTATTTAAAAAAAAGAAAGCCAAAATGGAGAAGCCATGTATGAAAAACTAAGTACACCTTATGATTCAATAGGTATGAAGAGGCTAAGTAGCAGCCACGTGCTGCTAATCAAATGCCCTTGATCAACTGATCATCAGTAAGTGTGGCTACCTCTATAAAAGCCAAAATTTTAGGAGTTTGCTGGTCTTGAGCACTGAGGTGTGTGTTAACACAATGCCAAAGAGTAAAGACATCAGGAATGATCTTAGAGAAGCAATTGTTGCTGCCCATCAATCTGGGAAGGGTTATAAGGCCATTTCCAAACAATTTAAAATCCATCATTCTACAGTGAGGAAGATTATTCACAAGTGGAAAACATGTATTCTGATTAAGGCCATTTCCAAACAATTTAAAATCCATCATTCTACAGTGAGGAAGATTATTCACAAGTGGAAAACATGTATTCTGATTAAGGCCATTTCCAAACAATTTAAAATCCATCATTCTACAGTGAGGAAGATTATTCACAAGTGGAAAACATGTATTCTGATCCACTGACATTCTTCCTCAGATTACACTGGTAACATCACTTGATGCAGATGTTTAGTCTTGACCTGTTCCTCCCTTATTCCCCTTAGCCCCTGCAGCTTGAAGGTGCCTCTGCTTTGTTCAAACACAACTAAATTCAGCCAGTAACATCATTTGGGGTAAATCTATGTACAGAAGCTAGGTGCACTCCAAACCTAGAAACATGAGATTATTTTGAATTTGTCAGAACAAGTTAGGCTTTTTTGTGATGATGTAGAAGAAGAAAATGAGGGGGGAAAAAAAAGGATTCAAGGAAAATAGTAAAAGACACATACAGCAATTCATAGTGTAGACAATTTTCTTAATTCTTATAGACCAGGAATGGGCAATATTTGAGGGAGCAAGGGCCACAGCTTTGCCTCTCAACCTTCTGGAGAACCCACAGAAAAACATCAGCATAGCTCTATTGATCAGGCTACTCTTAACTCTTAATTCTGAAGAAAAAAAAATGAAAATAAGGAGAGTGCCAAAATTTGCCCATTTCGCTACCAAAATTCAACTGTGTGACCATAGGATGCTTGGAATCAGCAAATATGGGGAGAAGGGAGCAGGACTGCATGTAGTCCATAGACTATCCATCCATTACAGTTATGTAAGTATCAGAAAAGTACAATGGTTGTCAAGTAAACTTTTCCAGTCCTTTGAAAAAACAACAAAGGAATCTGTAGAGAGAATTCCTTTTACAACAGTGGGCGACCTGTTATGTCAAGTAGCAAAGACAAGAGGGATCTATATAAGCTGTAGAAGTACAATCCTACCAAGTGTGGATTGATTGCACTTACTCCAAGAACGGCTTTCTTGAGAGTTCATCATCAACTCGTAGGCGTTAATCCACCAGGGTTTGTACTTCAACAGACGGTGAATAGTTTCATCTTCAAAATAATCAGCCCTGGGAAGATAGAAAGGCTTATGAATTATACAATGCATGAATTTGATACTAGAAACGTATATTGTACATGCAGTCACAGTAGGTGTATCTTATGGGCATCTCAGCCATCTACAACATGATCTTGAAACCCTTAAAGAGAAGTACAACTTCAGTACAAACTGAGATTTCAGGATATCACCATAAGAGTGAGGTAGATTAATCAGTTTTTAAAATATTCATCATTTTGGTGCACTTAATAGTAAAGCTTAATTTATATACTTCAATATACACATATTATAGTCTTCCAATATTAATTCATGATCTATAAAAATTAGAATAGTTTTATTTTGAACAATCTATTTTGGGAAAAAACCAGCCACTGAAGATTAGAGAATAGCAGCAGATAAGTCATATTCGGAAACTTGCATACATGTAAATGTCTACACACAAGCTCACATTCATATAGCCCCAGTCTCATACAGCAAAATTTCTGAAACTCTGTTGTACTTCTACTTCTTTTACTGGAATTTGTGTTATCTATTACAGGGTACATGTTTTATAAAGCAATAAACAGTACATCATGTTAGTCTCTTGAAATGTTAACGCAAAATCTATGCTTTTTCCTGGTCTATGAAATGCCGTATCTGTATCTGAGATTTTAAGTAGCCTGGAAAGCTTCAAAATGAAGTGCTAGTTTCCAGCCATCTGCCTTTCTTACTCTACAAAAATTTTACTGGCCCATGTGAAGTTTATAGTCAGTATTTGGAAGTTGGGCAGTCTCCAAGCAAGCTTGATATAAGTATCAGGATTGTAGCAGTACAAACATCTGAATAAATCAATCAATCTGTGCTAATCAAGTAGGGTTTCTTCATCATAGATGATAAGGTAAGAGTATTAATCAGTCATGTAACTTTCAATCATGCTGAGGTAGATCCTGCTATAACTATTTCATTAGGAATAGTAAAGCCTTTTTAATAAAATTTATTGGAAAAATGTTATTTTTTCATTTGTTTCTTTGGCAATTTTTAAAATGGATTACATTTTTTTTCTTCAAAAATGCAGGTGAGAACTAGTGGGATTTTGTCTTACTCCTTTTTATTGGGGAGAAGTGTGCACCAGGGTCGTCCTCTCTCCCCTCTATTGTTTGGTTTGGAACTTCAGCATACAGACATGGCCAAAAGATTGGTACCCCTCCACTGTTTCCCAAAAAATCCCAATTTGCCATGAAAGAAGTTGAATCTGACACAAATAAATGGCATCCACCATTCTTTATGCCGTGGGGGACGCGGTGGCGCAGCGGC